TTTAATAAATCAAACATTACATATTTTTAATTAAATTTGTCTTTTAATGATTTTTTTAAACTGTTATGCAACTTACAAAAGTGTTCCTTTACACTTTAGATTTAGCTACTTAAATATTTTCTTACATTGTTTGTTCCATTGAATCTATATATTGGCATGTGAAAGTATGAATCTCTAATTTTTTTTTTTTTGGTTGATTGAATTTTTTGCCAGTTTCAATGTATAACCACATTGTAAATTGAAGCTTTATTCCATTGAATAATTGATTGTTTGTGTTAAATGATTTTGCTATCTAAATAAAAAGATTACATGCTTGCTGTTTTATTGTAAAAAATATACTTTCGATAAAATGTCTTATTGTTTGTTCCTAATGATGTCCCGTAATCTTCTTCTATTATTATTATTGTTAGCCTTGAATTGATCCTTATTTTGAAATGATATAACATTAAAGCTAAATAAATTTAATCAAAATTTTAAAAAAGATTTATTTAGTACATGTTCTTAAGCTTTATATTTTAGTACTAAACAAATAATATGATTTTCAAAGTTTAAACAAACATTTCTTGGTGTCATATTTCTCAAATCAAATTTACCTTTAAAGATTATTTATTTGAGCTTAAATAAAAGTTCAATTATTGTTTTAAAGTGAACTTATTCATTTTGGACTTAATACAATTTTGATAATATTAATTTTGGGAAATAGATTAACTTAAGAAAGCTATTTTACAATAATAAAGTTTTTCAACATTGAACTTATTTTATTTTTCTGTATTAATTCACAAAGTTTTAATATTTGAATTTTATATGGTTGGAAAGCTCTTTGAATCTACTTTCTAATGGATCAAACAAAATCAAAATCCAAATTTTTTAAGAAAAGATTTTGAATTTTTACTAGACACTCTATAGTTGTCAAAAAATTGTACAATAGATAACTTTGAAAATTTACTATAATTTGTACACAGTGAATTAGATGATAAATTTAAATGAATAGAAAGTCCTTTAAGTCTAGTTTCTAAATCTTCAAACGGTTTATGATTTGGATTTGTATAATTCAAGTTATAATCAAATTAGTAAGTAGAGTGTAAAACGGGAAACTACCATCCAGCATGGACAAGATCAATCCCTTCTAAAAGAGAGATTTGATTGGTTTTCAAATAGAACGCTCCCAGGATCAAAAATCCAGAAAAGAGATCGATTGGTTAGGCTATTTTCAAAGGAAAATTGTTTCAAAAACATGAACTAATTTGATCTCCTAAAGGGAGGGATCGATTCCCCTTTAAGGCGTAAAATTACTCAAACGGCGACTTTTATCAAGTGATTTAATGGTTTATTTTTACTTTTCAAACCACTTCTCATGGGCTACTTCTTCAATTTTTCTATAAATTAGGCACTCCAACACACCAAAAAAATTGATGAAGCAAGAGAGCAAGTGCTAACAAGTTATATTTCATTTTTTCTTAGAATCAAGAGTTTTAGAGCCTTAAATTCAATATCTGTTGTATTTTCTTGTATCCAAAATATTATTGTGTTTCATTTCATCATTTTTTTGTATACTTCATTTAGGGAAACACTCAATCTTGAGACGTGATTTTTAGTTTGGCAAAAATTATTTTGGTATCTTGTAATGTAAGAGGTGAGGTATCCTCTTGATTTGTAAGGCTAAATGTTGTTATCTAAGCCTTGAGAAAAAGATAGAGATTTAGTACAAGATAGATTTGTATCTTGTAAGAATTTTTCTTCAATTAGTGTATTAAAGCTTTGGTGTGGACAACCAAGAAAGAGGATATAGGTACCTTGTGGAGAATGATCGAACCTCTATAAATAATTATGTTTGATTTCTCTATCCCTATCTCCTTACAATTTATTGTTGTTTATATTTGATTTTAGGTTCGCTATTGTTTGCATTATATTTTCATCAAAGTTACTTATTGTTTTAATTTTCATTCAACTATATTAAAATTATTGTTTGGAAAGAATTTGAAGAAATCCAATTCACGCCCCTACTTGGATCACCATATCACCTATAAAGCTAACAATTATATAAAATTACAAATTAATGTCAAAACTTTAATTTTTGACTGAATTAATTATATTAATTTTCTTTTAAATATCTATTTATCTTACATTTTTTGACTATTTATTTTTTAAAAATATTAAATGTATAGTTGAAATCAATTTATCTTAAAATCATTGTAATTTGCTAGAGATATCACATTTATCTTTTCTAAACATTAACTCCTTTCCAAACCAAATTTAAAATTTTAATTTAATTCAAAGTATTTTTTCCTTTTCCAACCATATCTCATTAAATGTTATGATTCAATTTCTTTATCGCTTAATCCATCACTTTGATTATAAAATATTGGATTTTTGAATTGACTTAAAATATATTTTTTTATAACTTTTGCAATTTTTACCTAATTAACCAAAAGTTTTTATTATCATTTTGCTTTTGTATTATTATTTTTTTAATTTCATATCAATTTATTAGCTTTTTCTACTAAATAGTTATATAATATGTTTTATTTGCTTATATGAATTGACTTAACTTTTTACGTACTGTCCACCATTTTTTTATTTTTCCTAATACTATCTATATTTAAAAATTTATAGAATATTTAAAAAATAATAATATTTCAATGCTACATTTCATATGAATTTATGTATTTTAAATAAGTTATATATTTTTAAAATAGAAATAATTGTGTCAAGAATACTTATTTCATTTAAACTAAAAATGTCTATTTATATGTATATTTTAAATTTTGTATTTTTTATATAAAATTTATTAATTATATCATAATTAAATTATATGTATATAATTATTACCTGTGTATTATACAGACTTAAAAATAATTTTTAAAAAAAATCAAACAAACATATATGTCAGTCTATAGTGATTATATTATTGACACATGGCATATTTACAAAGTAAAATGAGCTTGAAAAGCTGTTTTTTTTTCAAGAGTCAGACTCTCCATCCAAGCCTAAAGACCTCTTGAGTTTTGAAAGAATTTAAATAAAAAAATTATAACCCATTAAATGGGTTGAGATACAATTTTTAGATATTTAAATTTGGATCAAATTTTGGAGAAAAAATTTAAATTTTAAGTTTGGTTCGACTCGAAATTACATATATATAAATTATTTATTTATATATATAAATTATATATAAATTAATTTATATATATAAAAATTAAAAATTAAAATTTTACATATATAATTTTTAATTTTAATTTATATATGTGAATTAAATATAATTTTATTAAATTAAATTTAATTATTTTTTAATTTTTTATTATATAAATTAAGATTAATGAATAAATTTGAGATTTATATTTTTAATTTGAATCAAACTTAAAATTTTTTTAAAATTTTAAATTTTGAATCGAATCATATTTGAATAAATATGTAAACTATTAATATCCTATATGAGTTTAATCAAAGACAAACCATAAACACCTGTACTTCCAAGTCCTTTTCTTCTTTTACTCTCAGTTATTACGATTTAAAAGAGTTTTTTAAATGCTTCTAAGACAAAAACATTTGCAACAGTCTACCTCCCTTTTATTTTCCATTTTTTTCCCAATGCCTTTCGTCTTCCTTATTCCCAAATTCAATTATTGAATTATTTTTTGGGAAAATCCATCCTTACCTTTCATACTAATGAACCATCTATCCTCCTCTTCGATTTCTTTGTTGTGTTCTATTGTTTGAGATTTATTGTTTCAAATTCATTAGAAATTTTTTGCATCTTTTCATGACTAACAGGGGGAAAGATCATCCACTCATATTAGACCAAAAAAATCGATTTTTTTCGTCTTCTTTATCGGTCTCCATTAATTTTCTTTGGAAAATTTATCAGCCATATCTTGGATTTGATAAATGAAGACCGGAGGAAAAGCTGTCATCATTGAATAAAAAATGCCCAAATCTCTTCTTTTTCCTCATCCCCTAATTTCCGTTTCCCTGTCGTTGATTTCATTAAAATTATTGTTGCTTCATCTCTCCTTTTTTGTTTTTTCATAAGCCCAAAAGGAATCGAAAAACCCATTCATTACTGTTTCAATAAGTGTGCAGATTTTTTTCTTCCTACAATTAATTTGCAAAAAGCTGAACAGATTTGCTAGGATTTAAGCAAGTTTTTTTTGTGAAAAAACTGAAACATACGCTTGCAAATTACAGGTACATATTAAACAAATCTTTCAATTTATTTGATAATTATTCGTTAAAGTTAGCATGAAAGCAATTTCAATTTATTTGATAATTCAACAACTTTTTCTGTTTACCAAACTTAATGCTTTATTGGTTTATATTTTGTTAGTATGCAGACAAATTTATTTCCAAATTACATGTTCTTACAAGTTTCTTTATCAGAGTAAAGTATATTTTAAAAGGGATATTAAACTATTGTTTAGTAGTTTCATTTTAATTAGAAATACACAATTAAAATTATTCAAAAAGAAAATTAATTTTAGACAAATTAGAAAGCATTCCTAATTTTATTATAAAAAAAATTCTCATAAAATATAAAATAATTTAATTATCATATATAATATTATATTATAATATATATAAAAATCTAATAAAATTTATTTACGTGAACGTTTAAGTGGATAATTTATATTCTTGACAAGTAAGATAATTTTAAATATTTTTATTCAATCAATTATTTAATTTTTAAAAATTTAAAAATTTATATTTATCGTAATTTTTCAAAATATATAATTTTATCCTAATTTAAATTTAAAAATTATTATAAATTAAATTTTAAAAAATATGATAAAAAATTTGGCATGGATAAAAAAAACTAGTTATTATATAAAATTGCAAAGCCTTGTAAAAGAAATTGCAATCCAAAGACTTCCACGTGTCAAAATTGTACGTCTAATTTCGTTTTCACAGTTTAAAAAACAGGTAAATCCGTTAAAACTCAACCGACCACCGCCAGATCCGCATCTGAGCTTTCCTTCAATGCCACGAAAATAATTTAAAAAAAGAAAAAGCCAAAAAGGAAAAGAAAAAAACAAAAAGAGGAGGAGTAAATCTCACTAAATCAGGCGTTAACTTCAAAGAGAGTTTCAGAAGAGAGTTCCAAGTTCCAACGTCTATATCTTCGGTTCTACTTCACTCTCAACCTCCCAAGAAATGGCTTCTCTCTCACGCGCCACTCTACTCGCCTCCACTCCGCTCCCTCCCGACCACCATAAACATGCCTTCATTTCCGCGCCAAAAACAGTCAATCAAAGAAGTAGAAGCAGGACAAACCTGACGGTTGCTAGAGCCGTTGATGGCGGCGATTCGTACCTTGATATGTGGAGGAAAGCGGTGGAGAGGGAAAAGAAGGAAACCGAGTTTCAAAAAGTAGCCCAGAATTTGGCTAAGATCGACGATGATAGCGGTGTCGGTAATGGTGATAATAAAGAGGTTATGGAGAAGAAGAGCGAGGAGTTCCAGAAGATTCTGGAAACTCCGAAGGAGGAAAGGGATCGGATTCAGAGAATGCAAGTAATTGATCGTGCTGCGGCGGCGATTGCGGCGGCTCGATCCATTATCAAGAAGAACGATTCGTCTCCGGGAAAGGAAGATTCCAAGAACGAAAATGGCAGAACAATTAGAGTTGAAGAAGAGGGTAAGAACAAAAATCTTTATATTTGTAATTTTTTAAATGTTATTTATTGTTCGTTGATTTTTTTTTCCCTTCTTTAAATGAATTAAGTTATGATTTTTTTTTTAATTTTTATTTGGGGATATCATTTCAATGAAAAGGAGTGACATTTCCTGGAAGCCAATAAAAGAATCTGAGTTAATTTTTTTTTATGTGTGTCTGTCACAAGGAAATAAAGAAAAAGAGAGGCAAAACTTACATATTTGGGAGGTTTTATGAGGATATAGAAGTGCTGGTTTGGAATCAGGATCTCCTCCCCCTTTCCGGATTATGCCCTCCCCTTTAAGGGTTAATCAGTATTTTATAGACATTGCTACTATTTGAAATAAGATATCTGCTAGTTTTATCTTTGGCACTTAGCTACTGATAATTTTCCTAGACCCAAAGGAGGAATGATCATCAGAGTTCTGTTTGTACTTAAAATATTACTATTATTGTTTGTTAAATTTTACTAGGCAATGTTGTTATAGGGAATTGAATCTTAATTTAACAGGAAAGCAGAGTGGGAGCATTTTTGTTACTTCATCGGGTAATTCTGGAAATGGAACACCTGGTCCAGATTTTTGGTCCTGGACACCTCCTCAAAGTACTGATCCGATTTTGGATGATATTGATGGATTGCAGACTGCTAGACAAACTTCAGAGTATCCAATTTCGAGCAATCCAGTTTTAGAGAAAGATCAGTCTTTCGGTTTTCTCTCTATTCCTTTCGAGAGTAAAACTTATGAGGCCACCCGCAATCTTCCACCTTTTCAGTCATTGATAGAGGTTGATAAAACAAAAGTACCTGAGGTTGCTGTAGAAAAGACTTCTTTAAAAGAGGAACATAATCTTGAAGTTGAATTTTCTGCACATGCTGCAGAAGCAGCTGATGCCCTTCATAAGGCAGAAGAATTATCTTCCCAAGGAGTCAGTGCGGAAGGAAGGAGATGGTGGACGGAAACAGGAATTGAGAAAAGACCTGATGGTGTGATTTGCAGGTGGACAATGATCAGGGGTGTTAGTGCTGACCAAGCTGTTGAGTGGCAAGAGAAGTACTGGGAGGCTTCCGATGAGTTCGGTTACAAGGAGCTGGGTTCTGAGAAATCAGGACGTGATGCTTATGGGAATGTTTGGAGTGAAAACTGGAGAGAATCAATGTTGCAGGTCAGTAAAAGCTGCATACTTGAAGCAGAATAATACATTTCTCAAATCAAATTCTTTTCATTGCATTTTACCTTCTAGGTTTCACATCCTCTATGATTAATTAATTGTGATACAATTATGAAACTCAACCATCCATATTCATGATTATAGGGCCTATCTGGGCTCCATGTGAGTATACGTGGAACTTTGTACAATGAATGGTCGGGGTCAGATATTTGTAGAATTGTAATAAAATAAATGAATGTGAGGAGAATCCCCTGTAGGGTTAGCTCATCTGTAAATTTGCAACTAGACTGTACTTGGATTTCATGATTTTTTATTTATCAGAATCTTGTTTTGCAGCAACCATGTTAAAAGAAAAAAAACAATCTTAAAGTGTTCTTTGTTGCAGGATGGCGGGCTTGTACATCTTGAAAAAACTGCTAATAAATGGGGAAAGAATGCAAAAGGTGAGGAGTGGCAAGAAAATTGGTGGGAACATTATGATGCATCTGGAAAATCTGAGAAATGGGCTGACAAATGGTGCAGCATTGACCCAAACACACCCCTTGAGGCTGGTCATGCTCATGTTTGGCATGAAAGGTACTAAACTTCATATCTAGTTTGGATATAATTTTGCACTGTTCCTACTTTCTATAGTCCAGAGTTTGTTTATGGTGGCAATCTTGAACTGGTCTTCTTACTAGATCATTTCCTTGTTGATCCCTGTAGATATTTTACCCTGTCAAGAACTCTAAATTCTTGAAATGCTTAAATCCTTGTCTCTTGTCATTCAAAGTTTATTTGGAATTTTTAGGGGTTTTTTTTGCATCCATCCTCTTTGTGAGGCTACTGAACTCAGTTGAATATAAATGTTTGTGGTCTAATCATTCATGACTCGACTCAACTGAACTGTAAAAAGATTGCCACTTCATTTAAGATCAATCTGTGGAGGATGAAGATGCTACTTTCATCCAGTTTGATTTTATATGTTTGATCACTTCGTTTTTCACCTTTGGCAGGTGGGGAGAACAATATGATGGATATGGTGGCAGCGTGAAATACACTGACAAATGGGCAGAGCGCTGCGAAGGTGATGGTTGGGCGAAATGGGGTGACAAGTGGGATGAACATTTTGACCCCAATGGCCATGGTGTAAAGCAGGGTGAAACATGGTGGCAAGGGAAACATGGGGATCGCTGGAATCGCACTTGGGGTGAGCACCATAATGGCTCTGGATGGGTTCACAAATATGGGAAGAGTAGCAGTGGGGAGCACTGGGACACACATGTGGAGCAAGAGACTTGGTATGAGAGATTCCCACACTATGGTTTTTATCACTGCTTCGACAACTCTGTGCAGCTGCGGGAGGTTAAGAAGCCATCTGAGATGTCTGAACAATAAACCTTTGTTTGTTTGTTTATTTATTTATTTACTCAAGTACATTTTTCATATAAAGGTAAAATTTAGTAATAAGTAGCTATAGTTCCTCACAAAGAAACTAGTGTTAAAAACAAAAATAATCTGACATATTGCTGAAGTTTGCATGTTTCTCATAGCAGCTTCTCTTCTGTTTCTTTACTTTCGAAAACTGGTTTAGTAGTCTTCTATGAATATTTTTGGAATTGTTTCTTTTAAGTTTAGGGGCGTAAACCTTCAAATTACTTGTGAGCTATTCAAACTTTGATTTAAAAAAACTCATAATTTAACTCGTTTATTATTAAGTTAAACTCAAATTTAAACTACTCAAACGACGAATAAAGTTAAGTTTGAATAAATTTAAAGAAATTTAATATACAATTTATAAAATTTTTCAATTAATCAAGTTTTTATTTTTTTATATATAAGTAAATAATAAAAATATAATATTTAATGTTAATATTTATAATTTTATCAAAATCTAATTGAATTTGTCAAGTTAACTTAATTTAATTTGAACGATTCAATTAGATATAAACTTAATATGAACAGATTAAATTCAAATTGAAATTTAAGTTTCAAATTTTTAAATCAAAGTTAAAATTCGAATCTGTAATTATATTGATTGAATCCCCATTTGGATGCCCAATGGCTCCCAGTGAGGTGTGATCGAGATCCTTAATCTCACCGTGGATTCATTTGGCATATAGCTGATTGATGATTGAATGCCTTTTAATTTAACTGAACCCACGTTTTGGTCACTAGAACTTTATTCCTCTCATGAAAATTTTAATCACCACCGCACTTATTTTTCTCATTAACATCCTTCTTCTTTTTCTTTTTTTTTTTTATCTCCTTTTTGTCCTTACTATTATAATGCATGGGCTACTGAGCAGATGTATTTTGCCACCTGTACCTTTTCCTTTATTTTAATTTTGCTTTTCTTGTTATTTTATTTTTTATTAATTTAAAGTTTTTTAAATTAATTTATTATAATTATTTAATTTATCATTTATATAATTATTTAATAAATCTTAAATAATTAAATAAAAATATTTTGTTAAATTTAATACATACATATTATTAATTTTTGACATAATTATTAATGCATATAAAAAAATTTATTAAATTTTAATTATTTGTTAAATTTATAAATATAAAAAGACTATATTTAATTACATACAATTTTAAATTTAATATTTTTAATAATTATTTCCTTTTTTTATTATACTTCAACTCATTGTATCTATTATTATTTGTATTCAAATACATATCTCATTATTATAATATTTAATTTTATTGTAACAATAATTAATTTCATCATTATTTTTATTTTTAATTTTATCGAAACTAATTTTATTACACGTTCAAATGGCCCTTAGGTTTGAATGATTAGTAGCCACCAGCGAGGTGAGATTATACCCTCCAACTGGATTTTTTTTTTTTTTTTGATTGCAGCTCAAGTCTCCAGTTAATAAACTCACCGCCCATTATACTTTTTCTTCTAATTAAACCCCCGCTTGCCTTTTTTTCTTTTTTTTTTCGTTTGATGACAGTGTAGTGATAGAGGCAGTGGGACAGAAATTTTTGACTTGAAGATGAGCTTCTTAAGCAGCAATGATTTTTTTTTTTTCGCTCCTACTGGATTCAGCATAGATTCCTTAATTTAGAGTCGTTTTATCTTGATAAACTTCATCTTTATAAAAGAAAGAAATAATTAAAATGAGATATCCATAATATTTCTTCCTCGTTCTAAAATCACTGCTGGTGAAGGGAACGGCTTGTGAGTGATTTTAGAGGGACCCCAAATTGAATTGACCATTGAAACGGTTCGTTTTTTCATCAAAAAGGTCAAGGAGGACGACGACGATTACGAAAAGGGCAAGCAGTCTGTCGTATATCTTGATGCCCCGAGTGTCTATTCCTTGAGTAGTTAGCAATCAGTGTATCACAACCACCATAACGTGTGGTTCCAATTCAATACTGGAATGGGAAGCTTTTAATCCTTCTTTTTTTGTGGCATTTCATTTCTCAAAGTCACCATCTCCAAGCCTCTCTTATATTTTTTAAGCGATTTTATTTCCTTTCTTTCCTTCTTTCCAATGCTTATATTTAGATGATATTTGGTCTGAGTTTCTCTTTGTTGAATTATCAGTATCACATGTACTGAGTGACATAGCAGAGTATTTTGGGTTTGGTGTTTCTGGGTTTTCACAATTCTATCATTTCATGGCTTCTTCAATGCTCAGTGGAGCTGAAAATCTCAAGCTCGTAAGTGGAGCAGCCCCAACAGGGTTAGGTTTTTTGGGGTCAAATTTTCATTTTAGGTGCTTGCCCCAGAAGTGTATAATTTCTTATAGCAAGAACCAAAAGACTAGAATATTATCACCCAGATGCAGTATATCATCCTCCAGGCCTGTTTCTCAGCCTAGGTTCATACAACACAAGAAAGAAGCGTTTTGCTTTTACAGGTTTTTGTCAATAGTCTATGATCATATCAGAAACCCTGGTCATTGGACTGAGGATGTGCGTGATGAGGCGCTTGAAACAGCTGATCTTTATGCTAGGAATATGATAGTAGTAGATGTTGGGAGTGGAACTGGGTTTTCTACTCTTGGTATAGTGAAACATGTGGATGCTAAGAATGTCACAATTCTTGATCAGTCACCTCACCAGCTTGCCGAGGCCTAGCAGAAGGAACCTTTGAAGGAATGCAAGATAACTGAAGGTGATGCGAAGGATCTCCCATTTCCTACTGATTATGCTGACCGATATGTATCCGCAGGGAGGTAATATCTCCATTTACCTTTCTTATATTAAAATTTTGCCATGGTTTTCTGCAGTTATGAAAAATATTTTTATGTCTATAAGCAATTTTTGGGAATTGTCCAATTGGGTTCTTTTTGGTAGAGTATTCGTTTAGTTGGTTTGGTTAATTTCGAACTAAATTATGTTATTTTATTTTTGTTAATCAAATTAATTTATTAATTTTAAAAATTAATCGATTGAATTTCAATCTGTCCGATTAATTAAATTAAGTGATTTGATTGATTACTTCGATTAAAACTGAATATTGAATATCCCTACCTTTTAGAACAGTTTTGCTAGTGACATTCATTTGTATGATTTGAATGGGAAATTGAAGATTGTATATAGCTGTTGTAAGAGATATTTTGCATTAAAGAATGCTATTCTTTTCATATATCAAGCTTTCTTGATGTTCAATTATAAATTGGTGTATATTCTAAGTTGTGTGTGAAGCATGTCTTTGATATTTATTGTATGTGCTTTTATGATTGTGCTCCCCAGTATTGAGTGCTGGCCGGACCCTCAACGTGGGATTAAGGACGTTTACAGGTACTGAAAATAGGAGGGAAAGCCTGTGTTATAGGTCCTGTATATCCAGCATTCTGGTTGTCTCACTTTTTTGCGGATATGTGGATGCTCTTTCCAAAAGAGGAAGAGTATATAGAATGGTTCAAAAAGGCTGGTTTCAAAGATGTAAAACTGAAAAGGATTGGTCCAAAATGGTATCGTGGTGTCCGACGACATGGCTTGATCATGGGTTGCTGTGTCACTGGAGTGAAGCCCTTGTCAGGAGACTCTCCTCTAAAGGTAGCATACTTTGTCTTTAGATTTTGTTATGAATTTCTTGTGGCTAATATATGTGGTTTCCTTAAGTTAACATCATATAATCGAACAAATATGTCAAAGTCCAATATGGAACTCCTTGTGCTTGCTGAAATATTTTTGGCTAAGAGGTTCATATGCCTATCCTGTAATCTTAAAATTTCTGTCATATGAAGATAGACTTGGGTTTCTAGCTCCGTCTTTGAGCTTAATTAAGAATCCATCTTAGCCATTTTGTTAGCGACTTGTGATGATTAGATCTGTCAATCTTAAATACGAAATAAAAATGATATAAAAAATAAAAAATTTAAAATTTTACAAAAATCATATATGATTTGACAAAAACAAAAAAAAAAATGTTGTGTTTGGTTTATCATTCTTGACTCAAAATTACGTAAATTTGTGATGATGTTCAATTTAAATGTAATTTAAATAAATTAATAAGTATAATTACGTAAAAATTAAACTAAATAATATCATTTGCACAATAAAAAGAATCAACGATTTTTTTTTTTCAGAAAGTTTGTTGTGGTACGTGATTACATAATAATATTCACGCTAAAAAGATTTTCTTTGTTATTTCATATCCCAATTTGCACAAAAAGAGAAAAGTCTACTTCACTCTATAATTACTACTATACACCGATTACTAACTAATAATAATTTAAAATACGATATAATATTATAATAAAATAATATAACATAAAAATAATATAAAAAAATTATTTTAAAATTTTAATAAAAATTATATATAAATTAATAAAATCAAAAATATATTTTATATTTTATATTTTTATATAAAAAATTATAATATATAATTTTTATATAAAATATAATATAAATATATAAAATATTAATATTGTATATAATACAAATACATCAATTATAAAATTTTATCAACTAACAGAGAGAAAAAAGGCCTCATTTATGATTTTGGTCAGTGACAAGGCCCGTCCCTCCTCGGACAGGCTAGAGACATGAACATTTTCAAGTCTGGGCTATGACGAAATGGTTTTCAATTGTGACAGACCAGGACCATTAGTCAAGCACACAATTCAAGGCCCTATTACCTGGAGCAAACCGACGAGTCAGTCAGAAAAAGCATATGCAGAAACACAAAAAAAAAAAAAAAAAAAAAAAAAAAACCCTCCAATTTCCATTTCCAAACAATCCCAAAACTTTTCCATAGTCAATTCTATGTTTTTTTATATATTTTCCAGAAGGTTGAAATCAAAGTCTAAACTGCCGACCATGACTCTGTCTCTACTTATTTCTTACGTGTTGATTCAGTGTCGACTCCGTGGCTAAGTAAACTATTTTGTCTAGATCCTATCCCAACTTTTCTATTACTAAATTTTGCCACCAATTTCAAAGAGTACAACCGCACTCAAAAAGTCTAAAGTTGCTCTGCCAATGCAGCAAAATAAAACCGCGTGGACAGCCATGCACATTTATGGTTTTCTTTCTTTTCTTTTATTGGCTTAGGTTGTCACTTCTATAATTTCTTAGATCCCTACTTAAATTAAATTTTATAATGAGAAAATCCTATCATTCATAATCTTTTCGCCCACATAATATTAAATATCAACTACTCAACAAAATTATATGACAGTGGTTATAGAATCAGATTAGACAAATTACATAATCACTACTCAACTCTATTTGCTGGCTTCTCCCTCTCTCATTTTTTTTTATACATATTTTACTGACTTGAACTCATAATGTGATTTAAAATACCAACTCTGGCATCTCATGATTTTTTTTCTCTGATATAGATCACACAAACTCTCATTTTCAATCTTCAACTAATCTCTCAACCACTAAGGCATGAATTAGATCAACAATGTTAATTCTTAAAACAAAAACTCATAACAGGGAAAGTTTTGAAACAGATATATGGATGGGGTCGTGCAAGCAATGCAGCGTGCTTTCTGGGGTTGAAAAACAGAGTACACATCTCCCTATAGTCCCATACTTGTCTCCAGTCTTTTGCTTTGAATGCTTTTGTAGTTTTGTCTCCTGAACACCTGATCCTTACAGTTGTCATAAAATTTTAATTTCTCGTAACTTATTCACTACTATTATACAAACCCAAGGCAGATTAACATTTTAATTAATCACAAAGATTATTTTCTTTTTCTTTTTCTAAATCAGGTCCTTCTAAAGAAATGAAAATGTCATGATCTTGGTACTGTAGCAACAACTTAAGTCATCAGTTTGATTTGACTTTGATTATGAAATTCAAAGAAATTTTCACTCAACTTCCCCACATTGGAATTCTACATAAACCCAGTTAAGCTTGTGCTATACTCAACATAGACGCATACTTTCTTTCTCTTTCCTGAGGTTTTTTTCTAGGCAACCAAACAGAGAAGCATGGGAGATATACTAAGTGAAGAACAGATTGTTGAGTTCAAAGAAGCCTTCTGTCTCTTTGACAAAGATGGGGATGGTGAGTTTTCTTTGTTCTTCACTTTGTGTTAAAACTAATTGCAGCTTAATTCTAGTTTTGGTCATTTATGTTAATGGTGGTTTTACTATTTGCATGTTTATTAGGTTGCATTACAGTGGAAGAATTGGCAACGGTGATTAGATCCCTGGATCAAAATCCGACGGAAGAAGAGCTTCAGGACATGATAAGTGAAGTCGATGCCGACGGAAATGGAACTATTGAGTTTGCAGAGTTCTTGAACTTGATGGCCAAGAAAATGAAGGTAAAAAAACAAATTACTGTAAGCATTTTATACTGTTGCAATTCGGTTTGATATGACAATTTCGGCCAGAAAAAAAAAAAAGAAAAAGAATAGATAAGATTAAATTGGTTTCTGTCAAAAACCAGGAAACTGATGCAGAGGACGAACTTAAAGAGGCTTTCAAGGTTTTTGACAAGGATCAAAACGGGTATATCTCAGCTAATGAGGTAAATTTTGATACCTTTTTCTTCATCATTAATTTTTTAATGAGCATATCCAATTGATAAATTTGCAGTTAATCCAAGTAGTACTTTCAACCCAAGGTTTATTCAATGAGAGAATTCAATCCAAAACCTGCTAAAGCACCCATTCAATTTGAAAAGTTTGACTTGGGTTCCAATCTTTCATCTTTGAGCTTTGCGTTCATATTGATAAGTATGAAAATTAAATACAAATAGCTAGCTATGGGGACCATTGCTACTGACTATGCATCCATGAAAGTTTGTTTAAAACTTTTCAAATATTACATTCATACAGGCTGTAATGTTTTTTCCATGCAATGAATATTAGCCATATTTTTTATAAGACATTGCATTTGGGGTTTTGAATTTTTTTATTATATGCATTTAAAAAGAACTCAAACCAAATTAAAAAATTAATTTTCTCTTTTGACTATGTTGTAGCTGAGGCATGTCATGATCAATCTTGGTGAGAAATTAACTGATGAAGAGGTTGAGCAGATGATCAAAGAAGCTGATTTGGACGGTGATGGTCAGGTTAACTATGAAGAATTTGTCAAAATGATGGCTACCGTTGGATGAAACAAAAATTTTCTTCGTCAACTATTTGATTGAAGAATTATTTTATTAATTTTGTATTCAAAATTCGTTTTGTTTCTATCTCCATCAGGTGATTGTTCTTATTTGTTGTACTGTTTTTTTCTCGTTGTAGGCAATGATGTCCGACCAAACTTTAATTAGCTTAAAGACTTGAGAATTTACTAGTACCTTTCACTTTTGTTCAATACATCTTTTCCTTTCCCCATTTTCTTCTTGCCTTATGGTTAGAGATCAAAACGGATCAAGACGAGTAAAAACTCGTCTTGAATTTAATTCAACTTTATATAATAAATATTAAAATATTATTTTATTTATATCTAATATACAGGCGTATAAAATCAAAATTAAAGACAAGAATTCAATCCGATTCTAATGATTTTCGATCGACCTTATGAGATCGATTTTTTTTTTTTTTTAAATTCAAGTTTCGGGTCGAGTTTTAAGCAAATTCGATCCGATTTGATATTATATAAAAAATTATTTTTTAATTAATTATTTAATTTTTAATTTATATATATTTATATAATGATATTTTTAAATATTTAAAATTTAAAAAATAATATTTTATTAATTTCGGATCGGATCGGATACGATTTATATAATATCGGATTCGGGTTCGGATATAAAAAAACAAAAAAAAAATTTTGGATAAAGTCGGGTTCGTGTTTATTAATGCATAAAGTCGAGTCAGGTTTGCCCCGATCCGATGTCAACCCTAATTAAAATTAATCTAATTTAACTTTAAATTAATAAAATATTATTTTAAAATATAAATATAAAATTAAATAAATATAAAAAATATATAATTAAATAATTAATTAAAAAATATTATATATATTAAATCGAATCTAATCTATCTAAAACTCAATTTTGATTTTTTTTAAAAAAATTTTAATTCGATTTAAAATTTGATTTTCAAAAAAAAAATCTTACAAAATTGGATCAGAGCTTAATAGATTCAAGTTAGATTACCAGTCTTAACTTTAGTTGAAATTTTACATTAATTGAAACTAATGAATTATGATAAATGAGGCATAATTTCAAATGTGATATATAATAATTTTAAACAAGATATATATAAAATATATATATATATATATTTTAGACAGCATTAGATTATGTTATCATTGAGAAAGATATATCTATTTTTTTGCTAAAACTACTTTTCGACTTCCTCCTCTATCTCTAAAATTTTGATGAATTTGTTGATCGTATCAATCGGCTTCACAAGACATCTAGTGACAAGAATTGAAAAGGACTTTGTAAAATGTAAATGAATGAAACTGTCTCTATTGCATGTTGGAAAGTATAATTAATTAAATTTAGATGTGGTAGTAGATTGCAGCACACATTTATGATTATTATGTCATATTTTATTTTTATTTACTATTGTTAAACTTAATTTTTGGATCATGCAATGGAATATTTTATTTAAATTAAAGTATTTTGTTAAAATTTTTAATTATTTTTTAATTTTTATTATATCAAAAAATAAAAATATTTTACTTCAAATTCTAAATAAAAATAAACTAATTAAATTCTTTTTTAAAATAACAATGCCACTCATTTTTTTAATTATAGACCAAAACCCAAGGCAAAGAAGAAAATATAAAATATACAGTAAACAACTTAGTCACTTGCTAATGAAGCTACCCTTTTATGGTTTTATGGGGGGTTGTTACTGGCTTATTTTGTTTACTTGATATCCTATCACAAAAGCTTTTCATTTTATTTTTTATTTTTTAATAAAAAATAAAAAATAAATAAATTATTTAATCTATCGTATTAAAATAAAATGTGTTATATTCGATAATTTAAAATAAATAATTATAGATTATATATTTAATATGATCTCGACAAATGATAATCGATAAAATTTGAACTCAAAATTTTTTCATTTAAAAAGATGAATTTTAATCAATTTAATCAATCACTTATTAATTTATAATTTTTCAAAATTTGCCTCCCTCCTAAAAAATACATGTGAAATTTCTCCAACATTGTTTCTCAATTAATTTCTGACTTTTGACTGAGGATCAATGACGGGTTTGAAACTTTGAATATAGACATTCCAAGATGTCCTCATGCCTGCCTCTTTCCCCTTTTCAAAAAACAACTACCATCTGTTCAGTTGTTCATTTCACATTAGCTTTAAGAAGCAAAATACTTGAGATAATTTATAAGAGGTTTGTACGCATTACCAAGTCCTTTAAATTCTTGCGTTTTCATTTTCTTTATTTGTACTAGTCAAACTTAGATACGGTAATTGGTAGGGCTATTTCGTGTTATTTTCATATTAATTTTATGTTGCTGTGTGAAAGCAAGAAACAAAGTCAAATGGTAGAAGAAAATTAGAGATCCCAAAACTTGAAGCAATCAAATACCATGCACATAAATCAGTTTGGGTTTCATTCATTTTCACATGTCCACAACTTTGTTTCGATTGCCTCGTTCTTATGGTATTTCACCAAGGAAAAAAAAATTATATATATATATAGATGAATGGCAACTATGTAGAATTTAAATTAAATTTAATTGATTGGAGTAATTGTTTTTAAAAAATAATTTTAATAATTTTAAATCTTAACAATTGTAATATTTTCTTTTAATTATTTTTAGTATCAGATTGCAATTTTTTTAAAATACAATAACCAACCTAGAATAAGACAAATAAACCAATACTAGAGTTATTTTTCTCTTGTTTAATGCAAAAATATGCCATCAAAATGAGATCACTTTAAAAGTTAATGACCCAAATAGAATAATTCATAAGTTAGGAACAAAAGTGGAATTAAAATAAAAAAATTTAAGAATCATTTATGAAATGCATATATTGCAATCAAAGGCCGCAAATGCTGCCTAACTTTCAATTATCTTCCCAGACCATACAAATTCTCTCCCTCAACCAACAGAAACTTACATCACCATGCCAGTCAAAGTCTATACAAACTACACAAAGAAATAAAGAAAAAAACGTAGTTACAAAGTTATTTCACTCTAATATCATTTCATCTCCAATAAATTAAATCCCAAAACTCCATTTTAGAAAACTTAGTTGGAAAAACGAAGAAAAAGTAAACCCAACCAAACAAAACAAATTAAATAAAAGAAGAAATGAAACTGGGAACATGAAAAATGCATTCCAAACTGTTTAATTTATCACAGTTGCACAACACATGCAGGTGCCAAAGAGAGAAGTCCTGGGCTTGCGCTTCCCTTTACCTTTTGTTGAAGAAGATGTGACTTCCTTGGCTGAAACCTTGGTTGTCTTCTTCGCAGTGGATTGGTTGTCTCCTTTCTTTGGAGAAATTAACATCTGATCAGCTTCTTCCTCTTCTTTCGAGAAGCCAGGGAATGGGGTTTTTGACTTCTCAGAATCACTTGTTTCTAATGTAACAACTTTCTCTTCTACAGGCATTGCTTCATACTGTGATGAGTTTTTACCATACTCAGTGTTTGCTACTGGTTTTCCAGGATCAGCAACATCAGCCTGGCCTGAGAAGCTCTCGATTGTAGTCTTATCCTGATACAGCAAAGGGGTCTGATCTGATTCTTCTGCTCTTGCATCATTTCGGAGATCAAGATCAAAGCTCGGGGATTTCCTCATTTGAGCATGAATGCTCATGTTATCAGGATTCGATTCAGTGCTGAACCTTCCCACACTTTCTTGTTGGTAATATTCACCATTAGCAATAGCAGGTGTTTCAACAATTGCACATTGTTGACTAGACTGTTTTAATGAAGGCATAGTCTCCGCCATTATCACTGCAGTTGGTTTTGGACATTCTGAGAGATCCCATAGAGGTTTCTGACCAGTCAATTCAACTATGGAAACTACATTTTTCTCTGTCAAGTTTTGGTTCGCAAAAGAAGAAGCTTCAGTGGTAGAATACTCACCAGAACTTTCTTGGATTACTTCTGCCATGGACTCGTTGCTATTCTGAACTTTCTTGCATTCCGCGTAACTGTCATGTTTCTTCTTCTCGGTCAAAACATGGAGAAAAGGAGATGGGCTAAAAAATGCCTCTGCTTGTTCTATGGGATGTGAGCGAGATATAAATTGTACTTCATTTTCTCTACTTGGTGTATCATTTCCAATGGGTTTTGAATCTTCGATTTTTTTGTCCATTGCTTCGACCATTTTCTTTTCTTCTGAATCTTCTTCATTGTATTTTTGATCCGTGAGAAAAATATCTGCAGAAATGACAGCAGGGTCAGTGACCAACTGAACTTTTTGTGTGTCCTTTTGTTGTTCCAGCAGACATCTTTTTTCCTCGTTCTGACAACCATTCATCACGAACTGTGGTGGAGAGGCATTTTGCTCATCAATATTTGATCCTTCCTCAGATCCTTGGACATCTAATTTTTCAATTGACTCCTCTCCAGATTGAATTTGCAAATGAAAATACTTGCTATATTCGTTTTCTGATTCTTTCTTTACCAATGTTGCTTTCTGACTAAGAACTATGCCTTTCTCTTCAGTTTTAGAAACTTCCACTAAAAACTTCAGTGTCTCACCTGACAGATAAGCTTCTAATTGTGATTCAGGAGAATCATTTTTCATTGAGTTCATCTCACTTGGAAACTCTTCATTGCATTTTGCTCCAACTCCATTAGGCAAATCTGTCGTTATTGTGGTTATATTTCCTAAATGATAATTCCCAACCTCATCCCCATCTTTAAGTTCAAATTTCTCTTCACTGGCCACTTTTTTGGCTGCCATCTCTTTCACCAAAAAGTCATCTCTTTCCTTTTCAACCTCCAGACTGGGATCAGGAGACTCGACCATATCAGTTGATATGCTAGAATCCAAAATGAAACCATTTTCCTGATCTTGGCATGTTAAAGATGGTATGATCATTTCCTCACTTTGTAGTGGCCCATTGCACACTTGTACCAGTTGCTTAGTGTGGATTTTGGCCAATTCATGTTCTTCAGGCTCTAGAACTGCAGGTTCTTGAGGTACTGAATCATCTGAAGTAGAAGATGCTGCATCAGGAATTGCATTTCTAGTCCCCTCATCCTCTGTTGCAAAATAAGTATCTTGCGTTATTTTTATGATGTATCGGTATCTTTTAATACTCACTAAAAGAAGAGTACTAACCTTTCATCATGGAATTCTGATTCTCAAAATGATGCCTTGTTCCAGATAGATTCTCCCTGAAACTTGATTCCTTTTGTATCTCATGATCTCCCAAGTTTTTGGATGAAGAAGCCGGTTGGGTTTCGCAGCCTTCATTGAACGCTTCACTTGGTTTTTCTTCAACTTTTGTAGACTCATCTGGAGGATGAAGTTCAGTTCTTCCTTGTTCTATAAACATAGAATGGCAAAAATATGATTCAAAATTTTAATGAACAGATGAAATAGCAACTCAAATAAAAGGCCAAATAATTGGAGTTCAAATTGTGCATGCTAATGATAATTTAATAACCTCGCCCTTCTATTGTTTGGTCATCAAGAGCATCTCCTACCACCAGTGGGTCACCAGAACCCAATTCTGCCTCTGCCTCTGTGTTTATACTACAATCCTCACCTTCAGCTGTAGGAATTGTTAGATTTTTTTCTTCAATATCATCCTCATGATCATCTTTTGGCAGTAGTTCTGCATCCGTGTTGTCCTCGTCTGCATTTATCAGGATTGTAAATAGACAACCATATATTGGCAAATAAAATTGTTGCAGTTACTAACCTTTCTCCTGCTGTTTTCTATTGTCACAGTGAGGATCTGTTCCCTCAGGATCACTAGAAATCAACCCTGTTTCATTTCCATGAGAATTTTTATCTTCAAATGCAGGAAGCAGATGATCTTGTCTTTCTACTACATCTTTGCTAGCAGCTTCTTGTGAGGATTTTTCCTTGGCTTCATCATTTATGTTAAAATCTTCTTCTGCACCAGTCCCATAGCATTATGAATGTACAAACATAATTTAGCAAGTGTGATGCCGAAACATGTATATCTGCATTAGTTCGTTGGAATTGTAACAGATTGGCAACACAATGCTGTATTTACTAACCTTTCTCATCCTGTTTCTGGTTGTCAACACTAGGACACGCCCTTCCATCATGATCACTCGAAACCAACCCTGTTTCAATTCCATGAGTACTTTCATCTCCAGCTGGAGGAACTATGTGAGCTTCTGCATTTGTTTCAACTGTACTAGCGGCTTCTTGCAAGGGTATTTCTTCTGCTTTTGTACTATTCTCTTTTTCTGCACCAGTCCATCGTCGTTATAATAGAAAAATATATAGTAGCAAGGATGATGCTGAAATTATGCAATTGTAAATAGAAAACCATATATCAGTAAGCAAGATATACTCTATGTACTAACCTTTCTCATCCTGCTTCTGGTTTTCAACATTAGAAGATGCCATTCCATCAGGTTCACTAGAAGCCAACTCTGTCTCATTTCCATTAGTACTTTTATCTTCCGCTGAAGGAACTAAATGATCTTGTTCTTCAGCTTCATCTGCGTAAGCAGCTTCCTGGAGAGATTTTTCCTTGGCTTCAGGAGTCATGTTGTAATCTTGTTCTGCACCAGTCATCATCATTATACATAGGAAACAAATTCTAGCGTGTGATGATGACATTGTATGTTACTGCTTTAGTCCAATGGGATTGTAAATAGACAACAATATAATCGCAAGAAATTACTGCACTGACTAACCTTTCTCATCCTGATTCCGGTTGTCATCATGAAGTTCTGCCTCTCCCTCCTGATTAATAGAAGCCAAACCTGTCTCTTTTTCATTTACATATATATCTTCATGATTTTGTCCCTTGTCATCATCTTGCAGAGATTTCTTGCCTTCAGTTGTCATGTCATCTTCTTCTGCATTAGCCCAGAATTGTAAATGAAAAAAAAAAAAAGGTATTTTGAGCATGTCAAATGCTGAATTTGCTAACCTTTATCATCTGTTTTTTGGTCATCACTGTTAAGATCTTGAGTTGCTGGAACTAAATGATTTTGTCCTTTCAAATCATCTGCATGAGCAACTTCTTGCTGAGATTTTTCCTGGGCTGAGTAATCTTCTTCTGAAATATTACACAGCATTATATTTTAGCAAGCATTAACTTAAAATGTGAATTTAGAAACATCTTGTGATACACTTACGTCGCAATCCAGATGTGTTGTTATTCCCCATTTCATTTCCCATGTTCAATTCACCAAGCCCTGAATATATTGAAGCTGAAAGATCAACGCTTGTGGCAATCCACTATGATAGCCAGGCACTTTCCGATTGAAGTATATGAACTAAAGGGAGCCTAATTCAAAATATACCGGTCCAAAAAACCTTACCATTATGATGATGATGAAGGTGATATTCACATGCAAGTGACTATAAACATTTGAGTACAGCTTGATTCTGTGAGACTGCCAGGGTGTTACAGCAGTTGATGAAATGGTTACTTCATTGGTATTTGCTTAAAGCAAAAGCCTGAGTCGGGTCCCCTGTCAGCCTAATTGATATATTTCACTAAAGTGGCAGAACATTTGCCTTATTCCGCTTCCTTTTTGTGTGACATTGACATTCTGTGACCATAAACTTTATAGGAGTAATAACCAGCAGTACAATATTAACTAAATAACGTTCACCGTCGGCAATTCAAATGTACCTACTACTCTCTTGACATAAAATTATGTTAAGCTAGATCCCAAATAGAATTGAATACCCTAATTTTATGTCTTAGGTATTTCAAGGGTCTATTATGATATATATGTAAAGATTTAAATTTTATATTTGTGAGATATTTTTTTAAGACAAAATCATAAGATCTTTAAATTAAAACAGGTATTATCTTATAGATTGGATGTGAATCTATACAACTGATATAAGAAAAATCACCAACAAAAAAAAAGTTAAATGCTACACTATAAAAGGAATTTGTAATACTTTAATTTCATATTGAGATATCTTAAGGATCTATGTGAAGGGTAAAATATATCTTTTAATTGAGAGCAAACAATATTTCATAGAGTGAAAGCGTATGATTATTTGCGAATTCTAGGCAATCTTGGAAGAACAAATAGGTTAATCTGACCTTCCTAGGCATTCATTTCTGTATATGCTGCAGATATGCACTAGAGGTGTTTGGATGCCATGTTCTTAGTTTGTTAGTCCTAGGAACAGATTACAGCAACATAACGCCGCCAGCTGTAGTGATTTTGGGATACCTCTTAGTTTTTTTTTTTTTTAATTTTTTTTTCAAACATAAATGAGTTGTAATTTAGGTCGGCTGATCTTAGACAGTTAATAAAAATATAATAAAAAGCCTTATTTTTCTCAGATCATATCCTGATTTTAGTCTAAACATTGATAAAGCATAAGAGAAAGGACCTACATGGTTGTCGACAGCTGACCTTTATGATAAAAAGATGGCTAGAGGGACATGATTAGAATCCAAAGACAAACTTTAATGTTCCGTATGAACTAGTATGTTAGCAGATTGACAGATCTTCAGTATCTAATCCACTGAAGATTATATCTACTGCCTTGTGTAAGAAATATGTTGGAACTGGGATTGGCCGGCTTTAGGTACTTAACCATTCTTTACCCTTTATTGGGAATGGAATAATTGTTCTGATAAGGCCATGAACTGGTGGGTCTGTTCTTCAAAGCTTGTTCTTGTTGCTGCAGGGTGGCTAAGGACATGTATATGCTAATGCTAAACTCATCATGGCACAACTTGCTTTCATATATCTTTACCTTTGAACAAGCTCAAAAGCAATGTAATTGGACCCCTTTCATCTTTTCCTAATTGAGGGGAATGGCAGGAAAGGTGGGTGGATATCCACCATAGCCACTCTTTTAACAAAATATTAGCATTGAAATGATTGTACCATCTGGGTGGTTGTGATTTTGCCATTTCCCTCTAATCAAATTGAATTATTAAAGCTTTGTGCACAAAAATTAAGGGCTTTTGCTCAGCCTGGTAGAACATAATGCCTCTATATCTTTTCGGTGGCATAAATAAATTAATCATATTGAATAAGTTAAAAGTTGATACGTAGTCCCTATTCTATTCCTTCCCTTAATGTAGACGGTCAGGAATAGGGGACTACCCTTACGAGTACGAGTTTAACTAAAGAGAATTACAGTTAAAGAGAGGGTATTACTTCAGACTAGACCTTTATAAATATGTTTCTTAACGAGGACTCTCCTTCCCCCCCGCCTAGACTCGAAAGAGACTAGAAAGAAATCGTCGTTCTTGCTTTCGGACCCCTTCGTTCCCCCTTGGCATAGGGGAACTCCGGCGGCGTTCGAGTGCTATAATGTAATAGCCCTCTCACTCCCTCAACTCCAGAGAATGACTGTTATTAAGCATATCGTGCATTCTATATCTTGATAGATACTATTTAAAACGAAGATTCGAATATTTTACTTGTAAAATTTAAATTTGAATTTTTTTATTAATAATCATTTTTTTATATAAACAATATGAAAATTTAATGTAAGTTACTTTGTGAAACCTAGAACCTACCTTAGACTTAGACTGAAAAGCTTTCTCTTATCCTAAACTTTCTTATATAAAAAAAAAAAAAAAAATCATTTCACAGGGATTCTAATGATTTTAACTCTACTGCTAGTTGTTGTTTTTGATTGGTTTCAGTTTACAGCCCTTTCTGGGTTCTCTTGGACCCAAGAGTCATCATATTTGCGATGCTTTGCCTTGTTGGGTTTAATTAAACATCTGACCTTTTCGAGGTATAGCCCCAACTTTATTGGGTAAAGACTATGAAAAAACAACAGATATCCAAGTAGCCCAGCGTTCTTCAATCTGAATGTTTAACAAATTATTATCTTACTGTCGTAACGTCTAGATCCGAGGATCTATCGCTAGACATTGACTTAAGGGAGTCGCCACCAATCTTTTTTTATCTAAGTGCGATTGGCCACCTAAAGAATCTGTCCTTTCAGGAAACACCTAAGTTTAAGGGTCCCTAAAAGAATAGGTTCAGGTCTGCTAACCAGAACAGGGTTCGAGAGTTCGGTTACGTGTGAGGAAGGTTATAGCACCCTCACAACGCCCATCAAAGATGGTACCAGCTTAAATTTGTGTTATCCAAAAGCCTTAAAATTTTATCAAGTAATTAATTATTGGAAATTATTCTCAATTGACTCTAATACTTTAGCAGAAAATTGAGAAAATTCTCTCACCTCAAAGTATGCAAGAAAAAACTACTGTTTCACTTGCAGAGGCTCCGTCGTCGGATTATTTAAAAGAAAAAAAACAAAATCAAAATTAAGATAGAAAGGAAGGAAAGAATGATTTTTTTTGTAGAGAAAATTGAATACTTTCAACTTTTCCCCAAAAATATTTTTTTGAAATTTTGATTTTCAAGGAAAATTGATACTTTCAATTTTCCCTAAAAATATTTTTTTGAAATTTATTTCTAAGGAAAATTGATACTTTCAACTTTTCCCTAAAAATATTTTTTGAAATTTATTTCTAAGGAAAATTGATACTTTCAACTTTTCCCTAAAAATATTTTTTTTGGAAATTTATTTCTAAGGAAAATTGATACTTTCAACTTTTCCTAAAAATATTTTTTGAAATTTATTTCTAAGGAAAATTGATACTTTCAACTTTTCCCTAAAATATTTTTTTTTAATTTTTATTTTTATTTAAAGAAAAATAAAAAGAATATTACATAAACCTAATCTAATAAATAAAAAATAAAATAAACAAATAAACAAAAATAAAAAATTCAAAGAAAAAAAAAAAAAAAAAACCTGGAGCGGCTCGGATCTCGGCTCGGCTCAAGGAAAAGAAAACGGCTCGGGGGGAGCGGCTTGGCGGCTTGGCTCGGCTCGGCTCGGCTCGGAGGGGGCTGGCACGCGCGGGTCAGAAAGCGGGTCGACGCCCGGGTCGGGTCGGGTTCGGCAAAACGCGCGGATCCCTGGTTAACTTAAAGCCAAAACGACGTCGTTTTGGGAGGGTATAAAAGGCACCTTCCTTCGTTTTTCGGCAGAATGCTCCTCCCCTTCTCTCTCTCTTCTTCCTTTTTCTCTCCCTTCTCTCTAGAAACTGAAGAACACCGGTGCCGGATTCTGGAAAAAGTCACCGGAATCTGGAAATTTAGCCGGAAGTTGGCCGGAAGTTTGCCGGTTTCTGGGATTCTTCGTCGAAACTGGGCAGGTCACCGGAAACTTCAAGGTTGGCCGGAGATTTGGCCAGAAAATTCAAGTTTCGTCGAAAAAGTCAACCGAAAACTGGAATTTCCAGAAATTCCAGAAAAAAAAAATCAAAAAATCTTCAAAAAATTTCTTTTAGCTCCCAGAACACTCCTAAACCCTTTTTTAGCTTCCTATACGCCTCCTTTACTCTCAAATCAGTAGCTTTGCTCACTGTTTTCTGTGTGTCAGCATTCTGTTCCAGGGGTGCTTTTATAGGGATTGATCAGGAGTTTCTGATCAATCCCAATTCTCCTTTGGACGGGAATTCAATCTTTGAATCCATCTGGACTCTTCTGATTGAATTCCCACTCCCAGTGGGATTCTTCAACTTTCAATCCTAGCCCTCCAAAATAAAAATCAAAATAAAAAAAAAACTAGATAATTAGAGAAGATAAATCAACAGATATTATAGGATAAATAATAATAAAAAAAATATATAGATATATAATTAGATAAGTAAAAATACAAAAATGAATAAAATAAAAAGATAAAATATATATATATAATAAATAATAAATTACACATAAATATTAACAAAATAAATTAAATAATATATACATATATAATACATAATAATAATAATAAATAATACAATACATAAAATACAAAAGAAGAAGAAAAGAAAAAAAAATACAAGATAAATTGAATTGGGCTTACCCATTTGGGCCCCTTGATCTGGGCCGGACCAATTAGGTGTCTACAGTCCCCTCTTTGCACAGTTTCTATGAAACAGAAATTGCGCAAAGACGTAGACACCCCAATCAAGACTCAACTCAACATTTTTTTGGTTTTTTGTTTTTTTTTGGTTTTTTTGTTTTTTTTTTTTTTTTTTTTTTTGTTTTTTATTTTTTTGTTTTTTTTTTTTTACCAAAGCTCCTCTAAACAGAGGCACCACGACTTTGGAAAGTAAATTGCTCCTCTAAACAGAGGCACACGACTTTGAAAGTAAATTGCTCCTCTAAACAGAGGCAACGACTTTGGAAAAGTAAATTGCTCCTCTAAACAGAGGCACCACGACTTTGAAAAGTAAATTGCTCCTCTAAACAGAGGCACCACGACTTTGAAAAGTAAATTGCTCCTCTAAACAGAGGCACCACGACTTTGAAAAGTAAATTGCTCCTCTAAACAGAGGCACCACGACTTTGAAAGTAAATTGCTCCTCTAAACAGAGGCAACGAACTTTGAAAGTAAATTGCTCCTCTAAACAGAGGCAACGAACTTGGAAAGTAAATTGCTCCTCTAAACAGAGGCAACGAACTTGGAAAAGTAAATTGCTCCTCTAAACAGAGGCAACCACGACTTTGAAAAGTAAATTGCTCCTCTAAACAGAGGCAACGAACTTTGGAAAAGTAAATTGCTCCTCTAA